TTCTGGTTATGTGTTTATGCCCGTATCAGTTTCTTTAGCACTGTTATTTTTAGCGTTAGTGTGGGGGAAAGTACGAGTGAACGTGTCCGTGAGGCTTTTTAATAAATCTGTTACTTTTCTTGTCCTGTAGATCGATGTCTATGTAATGTTTCTGTCAGCTTTGTTTATTTTCTATCTGTTACCACTCCGGTCTGCCTGTCTGGCCACTCATCTGTGCATAGTGTATTTCTGTTCGTTTAACTGTTTCTATGTGTTACCTTTGCGAGCTCCCTCCTCGTCTTCTTTCTTCAGAAGCAGGTACCGTGGACTCTCAGGACACAGCACGAACAGAACCATCTGCAGGCCGAAGAGGATAACTGGGAATCCTGATTAGAAGATAAACAGAATCTATTTTTAATGCAGGTGCTTTTATGCCCCCATCACCCCAATTTAGATATTTAGTAGGTGAGCTTCTAGCCCTGCCTGTCAGAGCCAACCCAGGCTGAGAGGTATATAAGCTCGATAACATTCTCCCCACTCGTGAATCAAACTTGGGTCTCCTGCTTGCGTCAGCAAATCGCGTAATCGCAACACCGCAGACCCCGGATAGGAAAACTCTGAAAAGCCTACTTAACTCTTTATGTATACTTGAGCTCGTATTTGTTCGCCATTCGCGGTACACGAGCCGTTAGAGGGTGCCACCTACGGGTCCTACCTCTTTTATTCCCCGTCTATTATAGCTGTCTGTCTATTCATCTTGAATTTTTTACACTAAATGACTGCCATTGTGTTAATGGACATCTCTTACCACATTGGGCTTTCATTGATGTATGATGATCAATTAACGACTTAGTGGCATTTTCAACAGGAATAAACATTTTTATAGGTACAATACAGTATAACAGGCAAGGCTGAAGCAGCCCACCTCCTGAATGATGGTCTAAATTGTGCCAGTCGGAGTGTAAAACATAATGTAAACTACATCTCTGCATGCTTCACACACCAGTCAAAACACTTTACACTAGTTAGGATGCGGATTTTCTCAAACCTGTGTATTAGTGCGTACCCCGGACCGAGTCAGATCCTGCCAGAAAAATAGAGATACTCAACAACATAGACTTCCCCAAATGTGCATAGAAATCTTGTCTTTTGCATGCAACGCCGAATAGCCCTCATATTACACTCATGCTGATTTACATTAGCTTTTCATTGGTCATTTGTCATTGGTCATTGTATTGGTTTGAGGCCAATTATTCCCTTTTCATTTTCTCCCCCCCCCAAAAAAAAACAACAACAACAACAACCCAAAACAAAACAAAACAAAACAAAACAACAACAACAGAGTATGGTTTGAACAATGAACACCCTGTCAAACACAGCAAAACCATAATTAATTTAAGAGTAGGGACAGGGCATCCAATTCTATTGTCCATATCAGACAGGAGAACCAGCATCCCGAAAAAAACCCAACTTACCCAGCAGATAGTTCCAGTACTTTTCGTTGCCCAGCAACTCCTCGTATCCAATCACCTGGGAGAGCAGAATGGCGAAGCTCTGACTCAGCTGGTTAGTCTGTCCGGCCGCTCCCTTCATGTGGGGCTGGCAGATCTCCATGATGTACGTGGGTGCAAGGCTCAGTCCCCAGCCTGCGGGTTCAGGGCAGAGTTGTTGGTGACGTATTCATTATTAACATAAGGCAGCTTATTGAGAGATACACATATAAATAATAACGCGTTAGAAGTAGAGATGATAGTCGAAAAGTTTTAGATGGAACAGGAGCTTCGTGGTGGCGGGCCTTAAGAAATCAGTTCTAATGGCTTATTATCATATTTTGAGTTTGAGTAGGGGGAGAGGGAATTAGGTCAACAAGCATGGTTTTGTGTGTCTATGATGATTATGATGCTGTTAATAATGATGAAGATGATGATGATGATGATGATGATGATGATGATGATGATGATGATGATGATGATGATGAGGATGAGGATGAGGATGAGGATGAGGATTAGGATGAGGATGAGGATGATATTGTTGCTGCTGGCACTGCTGCTTTTCTTACTATTGTCTTCCCCGCTCACCTGTGGCTAGCCCGATGACAGCCCTGCCGACAAAGAGGAGCTCCCATGCCTCAGCTGTCTCGGACAGTGCCATCAACAGAGTGCCCGCCGTGCCGGAGACCAGAGACAGGTAGATGGCCTTTTTCCTGGGCACAAACAAACACAAGAACGATGACGTTTACCTCGGAAATTGAATACAGGAGTGCTTGTTTTGTTTGTTTGTTGTTATGTTGTTGTTGTTGTTTGTTTGTTTGTTTGTTTGTTTGGG